GGGATTCCAGGGGCACCATGGGCAACGTCACGGGCACAAGGGGGAGAGGCTCAACGAGAAGATGCAGACCCGGGCGATATAGACTGAACAAGGACGTGTTCGAATGCAGAAATGCATGCGGGATTGGGCCCGTGACCAGACATCGACGTGATCGCGGCGATCTGGAGGCAGATGCCAGATCGGGAGAAATCGTCTGACCGAGAAATCCCATGCTCCCTGCGGCGGAGGGCCCCGCTGGCATCTCTCGTTCACCCTGACCCATCGCCGATCACGAAATCGATATTGCCGCCGTCTGTTGTACACTCAAAGAGTTGTGTACGCGATGTGTTTTCCCAGTAGGCAAGCAAAGGAGAAGTAGGAGGAAACCGCTGCCCTTCAATGGGGCTATCCCGACCGCACTCCGCGAGCGAAGCCGACGGTAAGGCAACGAAATCTGAAACTTGCAACAGCCGCGGACTCGGGGAACTCGCGGAGCAGGGCAGCATGTCCCCCCCTGCTGTGCCCGAAACGTTTCCTCCTCCTCCCCCTCACCACCATCATCATCAGCATCATCAGCATCATCATCACCATCAGCATCATCATCAGCATCATCAGCATCACAATCATCAGCATCATCAGCATCATCAGCATCATAATCATCATCATCATAATCAACATCACCATCATCATCATCATCAGCATCATCAGCATCATCAGCATCAGCATCATCATCAGCATCATCATCAGCATCATCAGCATCATCGTCATCAACATCATCATCATCATCTTCATCTTCAGCTCCATCACCATCTGCCGCCTCCTTCCGATGCTCCACCTCCACCTCTCTCCGCGCGCCGGGGCCCCGGGGGGCCTTCGACGCGTCGCTCCCGAGCGCCGGCTCTCCCTCTCCCTCTCTCTCGCTGCCTCCATCTCTCTCGCCCTCCCTTACTCCATTTCCTTCCTCCTTCTAGCTCTCGTTCTCTCTCTCTCTCTCTCGCTTTCTCTTGCGCTCTCTCTCTCTCTCTCGCTCTCTCTCGCCATATCTCTATATAGATATATATATATGTGTTTATCTCTCTCTCGTTCACTCTCTCTCTCACGCTCTTTCTCGGTCGCTCTCATTGTCTACGCATGTGTATATACATGTATGTATCTATGTATATATGTATATGTATGCTTGCATCGTGTTCACGTTCACTGTCTTTTTGTTTTTGCGTTTTGTTGTTGCCTCTCTCTCTCTCTCCCTCCCTCCGTCCCTCCCGCGCAGATCCAGGCGACGCAAAGGAATCGCGACGGGCGACGACAAGGAATCGCGACGGCAGATCCAGACGACGCAGCGGCATCGCGACGGCCGCCTTGGTGGCGCCCTCGACCTCTCTCGAGGCCGCTCCCTGGCTCTGGGGCTCTGGGACCGTCAGGGAGCGACTCGGAGTGATCAGCCCGCCCTGGGAGGGGGCCGAGGATTCCCTCGGGGACAACAAGCCACGTCGGAGGACAGGGGAGGGGGGCTAGGGTTAGGTCGGGCGTGTCCTCCTACAGGAGGTTTTTGGACGAAACATAAAAAATGCCTAACACATGTTACAAGATGATAGAAACCAACAAAACATCGTCCCCAGGCTATGTTTAAACTATTGTTTAATATTTCTCCTGTAGGGGGGCAGGCCCGACTTAAGGCTGGGGTCCTGCGCGAACTTCTCCCCTCGGCCTCCCTCTTTGGAGAAGAGGCTGGGCAGCCACGGGGGGTCCCTCCTCAAGCAGCACAGGGGGGGAAAGGGGCGTCACCCACGGGCTGGCCCCACAGGCTAGACGGTAGCCCTGAACTTCCTTGGCGGCGCGCTGTCCCTCTCTCTCCCTCCCTCTCTCCCTCCCGGGGAGGGCCTCCGACACGGGCCCATCACGCCCAAAACCAACCTCTAAAGCCAACGTGTATGATGAGCATGCGCGGCAAGGACAGAAGCCCCCAGGGCGCCCTGGTGCAAATATTCCGCCAGAGATCAGCCACAGATGCTTTAGCTGGAGAAGGGCCGGAGAGGCAGGGGTGCAGAGGCATGCTTATGAACGCGAACCGGCCTTACCCTGCGCGTGAGCTGCATGATGTCAGAGCGAGGGGGACGATGCATCCAGTGGAGGCCCGACCACAAGAAACCTTCCACAAGAAACCCAACCCTGAGACCCCAGGACGTCCATCGATTTCTGGTGTGGAAACGTCGCGCTCGCCATCGCAAAAAGACCAAAGCCCAAGAAGCCCAGGGCGCCCTGGAGACAGGCAGCGTGCTTCTTGGCATGGGCCCCCACTGCACGCGACGTCAGCGCTGCTCAGAGGGGCGAGGGCTGGGATCGCGGTCTGGCCCCCTCCCGGACCAACATCCAGCCGAGAACGGCACGCCCCCCCCCCCCCCCCCCCCCCCCCCAGAGGCGGCGCACACGCGGGCCACTCCAGCGGAGGGCCGCTCCCACGCGAAGCGTCCGCGCAGACCTGCCGGCAGCCCCCTCGGCCAGACAAAGCTGGGAGATCGGGCCCCCCGGGAAGCATCGGACGAGAGGAGGGAGGGGGAGGACGGGGAAGAGGGAGGAGGAGGGAGGAGGAGGGAGGAGGAGGAGAGGAGGAGGAGGAGGAGGAGGAGTAGGAGGAGGCGGAGCAGGAGGAGGGGAGGAGGAGGAGGGAGGAGGGAGGAGAGGGAGACGGTAGGAGGTAGGAGTGGAGGAGGGAGGTGGAGAGAGGGAGGAGGAGGGGGAGGGGGAGGGGGAGGAGGGATGGAATGGGAGGAGGAGGGAGGAGGGAGGAGGGAGGAGGGAGGAGGGAGGAGGGAGGAGGGAGGTTCACCGCCCATAGAGGGAGAGGGGTCAGGGGGGGAGAAAGGAAAATTGGGGTGGGGGCGCCCATCAGACGAGAACTGTTTGTTCCCGCCCGAGGCTGTGACCCACCTCGGGCGGGCCCAGCCGACAGGGCCCCCCACCCCCCAGAAACTCACACTTCAGCCTCTGGGTCCGCGGCACTCGCCGCCCTGGCCTGGGCAGAATCTCGATCAAGGAGCGTTTGCCGACCAAGCTCTTCAGCCTCCTCTCTGGAGCTGAAGCCAAAAGCGAGCAGCACGGAATCCAAGCCTAGGCGAGGGGCCACAGCTTGCTTCGAAAAAGGGACGACTCTCGGCGCTCTGGGAGCCACGGCCGCCCCACCAGGGGCCACCCCAAAATGCCTGGAGAAACGGCCCCTGGTCTCCTCGGACGGGGCCTCCGAAGGCCCAAGCGCCACGAGAGGGTGCAAACCGGGATGGAAACCTTCTTTCAGCCTCTTACGGACAGTGTACGCTGACCCACCCGAGAGCTTCTTGGGCCCTTTGCAGACACCCACAAGACCTCGCTGCATCGGGGTGGTCGCATACTGCCAACACGACGGGCAATAAATAATCGGGGAGTCATTGGGTACCGTACTCTGCACCACGCAGTGTCCATTCACTCTCCAGGGCTGAACGCCCTTGTCTAGCAGCCAGTCGGGGTCCTCTGAGGCGGGCCCTGGAGGTTCCGCCGCAGCAGCACAAGCAGGAGGCTCAGGGGGAGGGGGGACCGCGTGTGTGGACTCCGCCTCAGGGACCTCTGGGACCGACAAACCGTGGTAGTGCCAAAGCCCCAGGTCGATTTTCTTGAGGTACTCGACCCCGACATTGTCCCGAATTTCAGCCGAGGCCATCGAGGCCGCAAGCTGGGCCGAAAACTTGGCCGCAAGCTTGGCAATCAACTGGCATCCTTCTACCAGCTCTACGTCACCGACGGCGGCTCTGGCCTGGGCCGCACCTCTCTTGGCGAAGCTATCTGCAACATTGTTGCCGTCTCTGTCGAACGGCGAAATCAGGTCACACTCAACGCTGGCGGCCGACGCGTGGGCCTTGACGTGCTCAAACGGCCGAGCACGGAAATCTTCGCGCGCACGCACCCGCCTCCACAGGTGGGCTCGCGGGTTGCACTCCGAAGTCGACAACCTAGGCGACTGGCAGCAACTTAGTGCACCCTTGCAGTCTGCCCGCGCCGTGAACTGACCCAAAACATTCTGGGCACACATCAGCACAGCATAGTATTCGCCATCTCTGGCCGTGCCAGTGATGCCGATGTCAGGCGGCACTGCTCCAAACATCGCTCCGACGTAGCACCTGTCGGAGTCATGCAGCACCGCGCTCCAGCCTGCAACTCTGAGGGATGGGTGGTGCTGGTCTAGGCCCGACCCATCAGTGAAGACGTACCCTCCATCCAGGAGGATTGGCAGCTGGAGGGCGCCGTGCACCCGCAGCCCCCAGCTTGGATTGAAAGGTGGTCTCCCCACGCACTGGCCAGGCTCAGGAAACAACCC